TTTATAAATATAATAAGTAAGTATTTTGTTAAAACTCAATTATTATCTTAATTATATTTTATATTTTTTATATTTAACATGAGATGTTTATATTGTATTTGATTATACTTATCTACAGTTAGTTACATTAATTCAGATATCGAGCTTTAATAAGTTATACTTACGCACAATATATTTGTAATCTTGAGTTTTAAGTAAAATGCATCAATAAACAGTACTTTATACATAAAAAATGGTTTTTAAGAATTTTTATCAAATGCTTTATTTTATTTTAAAAATATAACATATCACAATATATTATATATTTATAACATCATTATTAATTTTTAGGAGGATCATGCGAGTATCATCCATCTATATATATTTATCGCAAACATTCATGTTGTGTCACAACCACACCATACTTGAAAATTAAGATGGCTCTCAGCATCACACAGCAGCCGACCGAACTGGATTATGATCGTAAAGCTGAGCTCAAGGCATTTGACGAAAGCAAAGTAGGTGTCAAAGGACTGGTTGATGCCGGAATCACGGAGGTTCCTCGAATATTCCGTCTACCTTCACCTGAAATCCTGAAATCCAGCCAACAATCGTGTCCGGAGGAAAGTCTTCCGATCATTGATTTACAAGGAATCCACGTAGATCCGATCCGAAGAAAGGAGGTCGCAGAGAAAGTGAAAGATGCATCGGAGCGATGGGGATTCTTTCAGATCGTGAATCATGGAATTGCAAGTAGCGTTTTGGAGGAGATGATAAAAGGGGTTATAGCGTTTCATGAGCAAGATGCAGAGGTTAAGAAGCAATGGTACAGCATGGCTATCAAAGGGGATYCTCCAGTGGTTTTCAATAGCAATTTTGACTTGTATGTTTCACGTGTAGCCAGCTGGAGGGACTCTCTCATCTGCAGCATGGTTCCTAATCCTCCCAAACACCATGAAATGCCTCCTATTTGCAGGTTTAATCATTAATTACCTTTTTACTCCCATGTTTTTCAATCTGTAACTGAATGATATACATGATCTCGATATTTTGTTTTCACAGAGAGATCTTGCTGAAATACTCGGATGAAGTGCATAAACTTTCRGGTCGGATACTCGAGTTGATATCCGAGTCTCTTGGGCTCAACCCTAGTCACCTCACAGAGATGGGGTATGCGGATGGACTTTCCGTTATCGGTCATTACTATCCTCCGTGCCCGCAACCAGAGCTGGCAATCGGCACGACTGACCATACCGATAAGACCCTCTTCACGATTCTTCTGCAAGACCATATCGGTGGTCTTCAGGTCTTGTACAAGAACCAGTGGATCGATGTTTCTCCAATTCCAGGAGCTCTTGTTGTGAACGTCGGAGAACATATGAAGGCAATCTCTCCCTTCTTCTCTTTGATATGTTTGAACATAGAACACTAGTTTTTTTGTAACTCGACTATTAAAGCTTGTTTATTTGATGGAGGTTTTCAGCTACTTACGAATGGCAAGTTTGAGTGCGCGTCACACAGAGTTTTAGCGAAAAAGGTTGGTCCAAGAATATCAGTGGCATCGTTCCTTAAGGTACCACCGACACAATCCTCTATGGTCGTTGAACCTATCAAAGAGTTGCTTTCGGAGGAGAATCCAGCCAAGTATAGAAGCACGACCGTGGGAGAATTTACGAACTATTTCCAAACAAAGGGACTCAATGGTGTTTCTGCTGCTTTGCATTTCCAGATCTAGAAAGAACATCAAGAACCAAGATTGGATGCGCAAGAAAATTTAATCTTTTATTTTATGATCTATAAGAAAAACTATACTTGGATTATGGTTTTTATTCCTGAAAATATGCAAGTATTTATAAATGCAATACAACTAAAATAATTGTTGGTTCTTTTTGCGTGTGACGACCCTGAAATTTCTTTAAACGTGTGCATCTTTAAGGTGGATTAAAGGTTTCGTAAAATCATGGTTTGACGTAAGGAGAAAGTTAACACGGTTTGAAAACTGAAGAAAGTAGTGAGTTTGAGATTCAAGAGATTTAATCCCCATTTTGCACCCTTGATATCAATTTTTATAAACTTTATATATTTGGTATCAATTATTTTTCTTTCATTTTTAGTTTTATTACTTCATATGTATTTACTTTGTGTGTGTGTATATGTGTGTGTATGTATGTATGTATATTGACGCTTTAGAGGATGCCCTGGGAAAAGTCATGGCCTCACAGTAACTCCTAAGGCTTGAGGCTTGAACTTGTTGTCACGCCACGCCTCACATCATTTAGAACCTTGCATGGAAACATCAAAATTTTATTTCACGCATGAAAATAATATAATGTCGCTAAAGTGAAACAATTTTAGTATTGTTTGACAATGTGAAAACAAAACAAAGTTGATGTGAATGTGATGTCAAATTGAAACATTAAAGTGTTCTTTCACAAGGTGAAACAATGTAGTGTTATTTCAGAATTTTAAAACAAAACAAACCGAAGTTGACAGTGAATGTGAGATGGACCAATAAAGTGTTGTTTCATATTGTGAAACAACACAATATTGCTAATATGAACAATGTAGTGTCGTTTCACATGGTGAAACAATATAGTGTTGTTTCACAATGTAAAAGGAGACAAAAAATGATGTGAAATACAAAAGTATTGCTTCACAAGGTGAAACAACATAGGAGTTAAAACATTTCTATTGTTTCATGTAAAAATTACAATTATTAAAAAAATGTAATAAAAAAATAGTGATATTCATGCCAAATTAATATATATATATATATATATATTTATTATATATTTTTTTTATTTAAAACTTTATTGTAATTAATATATTTTTGATTTAAAAAGGAGATAGTGTTTAAATTAATTCAAATTATATAATTTCAATAACAGATACAAGGGAAAAAAATTATTTTTATACGTTTTTAATAGCAATGTTTGTATGTGAATGTCATTATATATGCAAAATGTTACCTCTTAAGTCTCACCATTGATTAATCTGAATTGTGTTTGAAATTGATTCTCAAAATTCTTAATCTTTTTGTGGTTCTCATTTGATTTGTCCCAAGTCAATGGTGGTGTTAAGTGGAGGGACAAACTGGGTTTCTATCATTAGAATGTTTATATATATATATATATATATATATATATATATCTATAATAATATATAATATTATAATACAAAATTGAAAAAGGACAAAAAAACAGGGTAAAAGCAAAAAAGCCCCTTTTAGAGAGAGTAATCTAGAGCGTGTGCTTTTGCATATTACAGGTATCGGGAGTGTAATATACGTGTTTGATGTCGTGGTAATAACATATAACACCCTTGTCCCGCGTGGTCGGAGGATGGTGTGTTACGGAGGAAAACATAACAAAATAAATAGCTAATATATATATACAGGATAACCAGAGCTACTATGAACATCCATCAAAAGAAGGTGGTAGACTAAAAGTTAAGACAACTTGGATACGGTTACAATATATACATAAACAAAAACTACTATACTATCCAAGGTCGTCTTCAAAATAGTCATATTCCATCGCTCTCAGTCCCGTGATAATCCCACCTACGATCATGTACCTGCCGAGGACAAAACAAACCTCGGCTGAGCCAAATGCTCAGTGAACAGATAATTAAAGTAACAAGATTGCAAGTATAAATCGAGTTAATAAAATATAATAATTATAAGGAATCCAAAAACCAGAACATGAAGGGATCAATTAATAATTGACATAAAATGTCCATACTAAAATAATATAAAATAATATCATCAAGTCAAGAATTGATAAATAAATAAGAAAATCAATTGGGTTCGAGGGTTGTACGGACCACTCGAACAATGGAAAATGAGTGTACGGCAATACACTCAATTCCCTTCCGATAATCGGCTCCCGAAAATGGTTCCCGAATACGGTTCTTAGGATCGATTCATTCGCCCTCAAATTAGCCGGTACCAGACCAGACCCACTTATTGACATTGGGGTATAATAGCGAGGATGCCATGACAATTTATAGCCACCATGGAGGCGTCACGACATCATTGCCCTCGATGTCGTGCCTTAAAGCACAAAGTGCTCAAATCACCAAAAACATATCAATTCAATGTGAAAAGG